CAATATTAAATAAAAGTGGTATCCTTATCAGGTTCCAATATGTAAAGGGAACACTTTCAGTACATCACCATTGAGCAAAGTGTTTGTCATTGGCATTGAATTTTGCTTTTTAAACCCTATTAAATCATGTCCGTCTCATAGAAACGTTAGATAAAACAGAATGAAACACATGTGGGTCCTGCTTCATCCTCACAGTTGTCAAGTTTGAGCTCTCAGTTGCAGTTACTGTGATGTTCTATCTTGTTCTATCCTTTTCTCAGTGACCTTATGCTTTATCTAGCATGATGTTTTCGATGGACTGCTCTCTCAATACATGTCTAATTTACTTAAGATGAAATATTCATAGTATCCATTATGAGAAGAATTATAACTGTACAACTTCCAAGATACAATTGACAGTGCATCACACTATCAAATTCTTTACTATCACTATAATTAAAATGCATCGTTTCAATTTTAAACATCCGCATTCATTATCCAACTTTCAGTGGCATATGAGACAATTAAAAATAAAATAGCTTGGGCCTGGTACATAGTAGTCCTCAAACAGACACTGCTTTTTAAACGTTTAAAGAGGTCTTGGGCAGCAGATTTGCCCAGGGAAATGCATCACTTTCTATGGCTTCTGTGAATATTGATTGGAGATCCAAGTGAGATGAAATCCTTGACAACTTCAATCTTATCTCTATTTCTAATGGCAATTTGTATTGGTCCCATAGTGAGAATTTGGGGTTTCTTTCACTGAGCTGTAATCTGTAGTTAAGGCACCAGTCCCCGGTCTTAATCAGTAAGTTTTTCAAGTCAGACTACCTTATGGCATGCAGCATTATGTCATCTGCGTACTACAGGGTATTAATAATGCTTTCTCCAATCTTATTTCTGTGCTCTTCCTTATTTAGGACAACTTCTTAGATTATTTTTTCAGCATATCATGATGCACAGAGAAACTACTGAAGTATTATGATTCCATAATACTGTCATGCATGATTAGCCTACATTTAAGAAGTAAACTATACAGCACACCACAGATTGCAATGAGTATACATGCTAAGAATTATTCCTTCAAAGAGTTGAAAATTCTTGGAAACCATAGCAGGATACTCAGTAGCCACCTATTCCACGTAAAGATCTCAGAACAAACAAACACCTCCTGCAAAAAATCAACCAAGCAATCAAAAAACAGAGAAGCATAAAAACCCTAAGTTTTGAGTTTCAGACATTTTGGAGGGAGCAAGCTTATTCAAGTAGTCTGAGAAAGTGGCAATTTCCAATTTTGGTGGTCCAACAAAAGTTCAAGCTGTACAACCCATCACTTAGCACTCTTCCTCAGGACTGAAAGAGAGAGAGGTGAGCACTGTCCTCCATCTACACACGCTGTGGAGGACAGTGGAACCACTTCCTCTCCTGTTCCCTGAGAGAGAGTTCACTCAGGAAGAGTGTAAACCTGGCTGAACATAGCATGAGAAAGGCTGTGATTAGTTAAATCTCTGCATCTCTGTTGTTGTTTGGGGCCATTCAGTCTGTTCCCACTCATAGAGACCCTATGTACAACCGAAGAAATGCTTCCTGCTTGTGCACCGTCCTCTCAATTGTTGTTATATTTGATTCCATTGTTGCAGCCTCTATGTCAATCCATATTGTTAAGGGTCTTCTTTTTCACTGACCTTCTACTATAACAAGAATGATGTCCTACTTGAAGGACTGGTCTCTTCTGACAACTTGTCCAAAATATGGGAGATGAAGTCTCGCCAATGTTGCCTCTAAGGAGCATTCTGGCTGTACTACTTCCAAGATAGCCCTGGAGTTGTTCATGCGTAATCCACACATTAGTTCCCTGTTTAAGAGGGAAGTTTACATTGACCTGGGGCCTTGCTGTGACATTCATCTAGGGATTAAGATAAGAGCTACAGTCCCTCCACTGGGACAGAGCAGTTTGAATGTCTCAGGCATTCCTTTCTCCCTTCTTTCAAGACAACTTTTTTAGAAGTTACCATTTTTGTAATTCACTTCCAACCCCTGACAACTACAGAAGTCAACCTGAGATTGGGGCTCTTAAGGGGGTTAGGGACCATCTCTAGTTTGTTATCAATCCTTTCTCTGAATAATTTTGAACATGCAATAGCTACAACACTTAAACTTTCCATAGCTACAACTAGTGCAAATGGAATACTACCAAATCCATTTCCATATGACCAGCAAAAAGAGACCGTTACAGACACAGGAGGTTTTCCAGAGTAGAGCTACTCACGATGGAGTTCAGAAGAATGATGTTCAGCTCCTTTAAGCAAATGTAGGAATGTTTCAAAATACCTACATAAAAACAAAAGCCAAAAAAGGAATAGAAGAAAAAATTTTAAATGTCGAACAAAACCTATAAAATTTAGGAATAATTCAAAAACTCCAAAATCAAAACCAGAAGAGAAACACTAAGATAGTTGAAATAAATAAGTCGGAAAGATAAAAGTAGTAAAACAAACAATGGAAGCCTGAATCAATGAGTTTGAAGACTTTCGAGACTAAAAAGAACTATCGCTATTTTTAAAATCCTAATAAAATATAAGAATTTTGAGGGATACTATTAAATGGAACAATTTATATTGAGAATCACCTTTGAAGTGAAAGGAGAAGAAAAATACACAAAGGATATATAGTACAGGAAAATTATTTTTTTTAAAGAAAATAAATCTGTTTGAGACCCCAGGAGCACCTGGTATTTTCAATGGCCTCATATCACTCACGGGAGAGCTGGGCTATGGGAATCTAAGAAATACTAGAAAGGACCAATGAATTAAAATTATGGGGTTTGTGCACAGCAGTTACATTCCCTGCCTGTGAGATGACCTGTCTATCTTGAAAGAGGTATAGCCAGAATGCTCTTTAGAAGCCAGAATGGGGAGGTGTCATGCCATATACTTTGCATATGTAATCAGGAGGGTCAGTCCCTGAAGAAGCAGTTGTGTTTTCTTGCTGAAATTTCTAAAACAGGGGTTCAGGTAAAAAACAAACAACCCTCCACAGTATTGATTCACATGATCTCTGTAAGAATGGGTTTAAACAGAAAAATGGTTGAGGGAATGCCATAGATCAGAATGTGTTCTGTATTGTCAGAATGAGCTAAATCCAACTGTACATCATCTAACAATAACAGCACCAATGAGTAATATGACTTAATATATTTTTGTCTGTGTTTCTTGGCAACTTGAATGTATTCTCTGGTAAAGTACCTATTCATGTCCTTTTTCCATTTTAAGTCTCAATACTGTACCACATGTTCTGTCCCAATGGATGTTAAGTGAGATTTTAGGATTAAGAAAGAGGAGTGAACTCCCCAGAGAATGTGCTGAGAGATGTTAAAATAGGGTAGAATCAATGTCCACTATCAATCAGGATTTCTAATGAAATCACATTTTATTTACACTGTCTGTGCTCACTGTGGACCAACGGTTTCTCTGGTCTTCAGCTTAAGGCTCTTGATTTCTCAATAAATGAAAGCCCATCCCAGGAGAGAGGAGAGCATTAGACTGGACACTTCTCCACATCCCCGACCCCACCCCCAGGATTCACACCTCAGCTCACGTATCCAATTTCCAGGTTAAATCTTAAAACTTGGTGAAAATTTTTATGGTGGGCCAAGTTCTCTAGCATTTACAGACCTTGCCCATAGCTCCTGTTTTCACTTTGGATATTTTTCAGCCTGAAGGTTACTTCTCTTCAATAGTGTCAAGAAATTCTAAAAATGGACTGACATTAAAGAAATTTTCATTATTGGCTGTTTTCCCTTGTCCTAGCTGTCCTGCGATTTGATCCAAGGAGTGATGGGCCCTGTTTAAACTTGGCAACCTTGGTGATGCTATACTGCCAGAGCTGGATCTGCCAAAAGGTGCAGACAAGGCGGGAACAACTGTTAACAGTATGTTTCTGTATCAGACAACAATCCCCCTTATCAAAGGAGTTGACTCTCAAGCTCCAAAAATATCCACACAGGAGTGGAAATTTCCTGCAGCTGACTGAATGACCACTGAGGGAGCAACTGTCTGTTACTACATGACACAGACAGTCAGAGGACCAAGTGCCATCCCACACATAAACTTAACTGCAATATGGGTTTAACAAAGCACAGGACCAAGCTTATAGGGCAAGGGCAATAGCGGAGTCATGGGAGCAAGGATCTTCCTCTTCAGTTCTAGGGATTCCTTCCCTCTAACATATTTTCTTGATGGATATACTCCACCTTATTATTTATGACAAAATCCAATAGGCTTTATACTATTCATTAATTTATACATTATATGCATATGCAAAATTACATGAGTCCTGGTGGCATAGTGGCTACTTACTTGGCTGAAAAACAGAAGGTCGGCAGTTTGAAACCACCAGCTGCTCCATAGGAAAAAGACTGGGCTTTCTGCTCCCATAAAGAGTTACAGTTTCAGAAACACTCAGGGGCAGTTCTCCCCTGTCCTACAGACTTGCTATGAGTCTGCATTGACTCAATGGGTGTGAGGGAGTGTGAGTGATGCACACATTGAGATGTGCAAACACTATTTGTATGATTGATAGCTATGACATGCATTTAAATCCTGCAGGGCTGTATTGGATTGAATGAAAATGAAAGCACAGCATAACAAACTGTGAGATTCAACTGAGGAGAACTGAGTGGGGAATCCATAGCCACAAACTTCTGTGTAATGTAGACATAGAGCTCTGAAATTAACTACCTCAGTTTCCATTTAATGAAACTAGAATAAAAGGATGAGTATGCCCCATCAGAGGTATCAGGGGGAAATAAATAAGTAAAAGAACTCAAATAAATGAAATGAACACGATTAGTAAGCTGATTAAATGAAAATGGACTCTGTGAGAAGACGAAGTAAGGTGACGAACATCCACTTTTCCTGATCCTGACAAAAGAGGCAGAATCTGAACCTCTCACATTGGAAACCAGACAGGAGACCCCATTTCGCATGTATTTGCGCCCCCTCTCCCCCTGCCCACCGGGTCCTTGTCCCAGCTTTGAGGATAGAACCAGAAGATAGGCAGCTGCTGGCAACGAAGACATGACACCGCGGGAACCGGAGTACGCTCCCTCTGCCTCTGTACATAACGGGGACCGGGACTGCACGCCCGGCCCCTGCCAAGAAAAGGAGGGTGCCATTTCGCATAGTTTATGGATAACTTCATGCCCACAGTATAAAAATACCACTTCAATGGAGAAATTCCTTGGAAGGCAGGAAAAAATGTTCTCATGAAAGAAACAAATAATAGAATCGTCCACTATCATCACCCGTATCCACATCTTAAAGGTTATGAGAGGACACATTGTGAGCTCTCATATCACAAAGTAGTGTATGTAATATAAAGTTTATAAACTGTAAACTGCTTTTAAAAATATTGATAATATATAACAACTAAAAGAATGCTTGATAAACATCCTGTTTAAAATCTCTGTTTTCCCTTGATAGTGTTTGTGTTTCTCTGAGTCTGAGGGAGAACTCTTGCTCATATTCTCTACTCATCCGCTTCTAAATATCAGGGGACGTGCAAATGCAGCTCTCTGCCTGCTGATAAACCGGCCCTGCTGTGGGACATCTCAGAGGAGAAGTCCCAGTCTCTGGGGTCTCTGCTGTTTCCATTTTGTGTCCAGGAGATAGTGTAGTGACACATAATGAATTTAGTATCAGCCTTGGCTTTCATTTTGGCCATTTTACATGGTAATCATTGTAGACCCTGCTGTTTATGTGTGTAATTGTAAGTACCTTAGTTTGTATGTGTTTTTGCCTTATCACGGTGCCACTGTGTTTGCAGGTGTCCAGTGTGAGGTGCAGCTGGTGGAGTCTGGGGGCGATCTGAGAAACCCTAAGGGAATGGGATGTCTCTGAGACTCTCCTATGCAGCCTCTGGATTCAACTTCAGTGACTATTACATGCACTGGATCTGCCAAGCTACAGGGAAGGGCCTGCAGTGGTTTGCATACATTAGTAGTGCTGGTAGTAGCACGCAATACACAGACTCCGTGAAGGGTCGATTAACCGTCTCCAGAGACAACTCCAAGAACACACTCTATCTTCAGATGGGCAGGCTGAAAGCCAAGGACACAGCCACGTATTACTGTGCAAGAGACACAGTGAAGGGGAAGTCAGTAAGAGCCTAAAAACCTCTCCTATAGGGAAGATACTGGTCTCCAGGGGGCGCTCAGGACCCACAGAGCGCAGGACTCGGACCCAGGAACAGGTGCAGCTGGAATTCCAAGGCTGGTTTCCTGTGGGGATCTGCGGATTCTTCTAAATCTCATAGTTTCCCTAGGGAGTCTCTTTCTAATTTAAAAATGATAATTCTGTGCCTACTCCTGATACCTGTGAATTCAAAAGTGTTAATGTAACAGGAGAATAAAATCTGTCTTACAGCAAGTAACCGCCTGTCCCTTAAGGACAGGAAATGACTCTGCCAGGCGTTTCTGTATTAGAATGCTCATGTAGTTCAGATAAATACATTCCAATTAGACTTTCTTTTCTGGGATCCCATCTGCAAACACATGTACTCATAAATTGTATTTTATTATCTGGGTGCTAATATTTTGTATCTGTCTATACTTCAGAGCCTTTGGCTCACGATGGTCAAGACAGACACTAACTCATTGGTATAAATTCAGGATTTAGGGAGATCTCTAGGACCAAAGGAGATAATCCAGTTCTTTATGTCAGATGTTTTATCTTCACCTTGACAATCCCACAGAATGTCAGCCCCCTGAGTCTGGTGTCAGCTAGAGCGTCCACATTTGTCCTGTTAATCAATTCATCCTACTTAATCAATTCAGCCACCAGAAGGTGGCTTTGCTACTAATTGATTGTAGGATATCAGCAACATCCCCAGTACTTAGTGACACACAACCTCAAGTGAGCAATTTCACATATTTCAGTATAAGATTTGGTATAAAATGTATCATTAGGTATAAATAACATTTATGATGATTTTATGTATATAAAATATCTTTGTGTTTCAAAGATAAATTGCTTTAGGTGACATGTACTCTTTCATCACTACACTGACTCTTGAGTAGACATAACAGTGTAGTTGAAGAAAAGCTGTTCCTTTTTAGTGACTTACAAAAACCTTTCCTTCTTATAGCAAACATTGAATTGGAGACACTTTGGGTTAATTCATGAAAGTGATCGTTTTATCTCATCTTCAAACTTTTAAATATCTAATAATGTTACCATTATCTAATGCAGAACAGAAAACATGTATCCAGCAATTAAAATGTCCTTGCATTTGCTGTGAGTGCCTTATAAATATATAAGTCGCTGAGTGTAGAAGACCACTGCCTTTATTCCTAACGTCATCCTCAATCCTAAGCCATGTCTTCCTCATCACTTTCTGTAGCCTGGTAAAACTGGAGCTTGGCCTTGGTGAATAGAGAAGTCATGGACAGGACTGTATACTCTGAGGAAACAGCCAACATGCTTATCCTAGATAAACCCCTTTTTAACTTTATTACAAAGGCACCACTCAGTATCATTCCACCAGATAGAGTCTCGTGATGTATTATTTTAGTTCTTACTCATTGTGGATAACACACCTTGGAATCAGGGGACTCATTTCTTGTTTCCAAGAATATGTACATTTCTTCCTCTTCCTGGGGTCAGCTCTCTGAGTTGAGTAGCTCAGGAATTGAAACGTGAACTTTTGGGGATGCTTTATCTGATCACATGTCTCAGGTAGGTATCTCCAGGTGGTTGTATCTCCAGGTACATCTTCAGGGGTTGGATTAGGATTTATAAAACTTACAGACATTTTCCCACCCCCCATCCCCCGTTCTGTCTCTAGGTCTTCTTAAATCAGCTATGAGTCGGTATACTATGGAGTGGTGCATTCACAGACTATGGTCCTACCCTGATATCCTGAGTGCACATCCCCAGGGACCCCTTTAGAGTCAAATTCATTGAAGGCTAAGCTCCATTGCTGCGCAGGCCATTGCCATGCATCACTGTGAAAGGAGGCAGGAAGAAGGCAGTGTGACTCCAGAACTCCAGGTGAAGAAAGGAGTCTGAGCTGCGCAATGCTCCATGATCTTCTCTTCTTGGTATTCTTTTTTTTTTCCTTGAACATACTTTACATTATTGTCTAGGAGTGTTCTTTATTTTTCTATTATAATTGTCACCAAAAAATAAATCCCCACTTTATTTTTCGTCTTCTTTGTGACCTTATAAATCATACTATTTATAACACGTGTAATGACATTTTCCTTGATATTTGTTGGCATAATTATCATATTTAGTTTGGGTTTCATATTTAACTTTGTGGTACCCATCTCTGTGTCCAGTGTGAATCTCATGCTGATGTGGTTTGAATTATGACCCTTTTCTTACTCTTTTGTATCTCACTTTTTGTGGATGAATGGACATGTTCAATATAACCATGCATGTCAGCATATTGTATTATGTATGATGTTTTCCCTGGGGGTTTGCTAATAACCTAACTTCTGCTGGACTTTTATTGTCAAAGTTTGTGAAAATATAGTAAGGGTACCATTTGTTATTAATTACATGCAATGTCCATCACAGTTAAAATTAATTTTTGCTAAAAGTACCTGTGTTAGTCTGGGTGGACTAGAGAAACAAACCCACAGAGACTCACATATATATAAGAGAGGGTTTTATATAAAGGGTAAGTTTACAGTAAGAAAGCATCCCAACCCAGTGCTGTCCAAGCCCATATGTCTGAGATTAGCTAATATGTCCAACGCCGATCTACAAGTCCTCCTCAATTTCACAAAGCAAACGCAAAGACACTGACTGCAGGAGGAAAACTGAATCAGTGAACATGTATGCATCTCAGCACTGGCAGGGGTCTCCACACAGGCTGCATCAGGGTAGGTCCATGTAGCTTCTCCTCAGGGATGTCTCACAGGAAGTGAGCCTTGCCAGCTGAGGCAAAGAAGTAGCTAAAGCAGCTGCACACTGGTCTGACCATTCGAGAACAATAGACCAGAGAACTAGAAAGGCGAGGCTCACTGAGCCATTTATCTCTCCGCCCATCAATTAACCCCACATCTGTTTATCGGCCAGGTTGCACCATAAAACTTAACTATCACAGTATCAAAGTTATATATTTCTGTATAAAACCTCATTTTAAATTTCGTGTTTGGTTTTCTCTTCACTTGTGCTCTCCTAGAGAACTGTGATTTTCATTTCCCTGATGCACCCTGCAGTTATTTTTACTTGATGATGGTGACTGTGGTGGCAGGGTTTGTTTCAGGGACATTTCTCTATTCCTAGGGCATTCTGAACCTGGATATGAGATACAGCTTTCTAGCTGATCATTTCCTCCGGCAAAGTTTCTACTGGTCTAGCAGCTTTGCCTGCCCTTTCCCGTGGCACAGAATACTTTTTCTGCCAACCTGTTTATTCCCTTGCTGCAAAAGGTTTCCATTAGTATCTTCAACTACACAGTTTTATGTCCTTCCTCTTCAGATTGAATAATTTATGCATAAATAAAGAAAAGAGAAGTGGTTTTTCACGTTAAATCAGACTTGTTCTGCATGGTGCCAGTTAGGTGTAGTATATTTTTATGAATTTATTCCTTTTCTTTCAATGATTTTCTTCTGCTTAGAGTCAGGTCTGAATGCATTTGGGCTGTGACTACTTTCCTGCTACCCTAGCCACGATCAAGGGAATAGAGGGAAATTTATTTTTGTTTATTATCTACCTCTTAATGGAAAGTCCTGCACTCAAACAAGTATTTTATTTAGTCTGTGCTCCTGGGAGAACCTATTCATTTTAACACATGAAACTTTAAACTATTTTAAATTTTTCAGATTAACCTTTCTATAGTTTAAATGTCGTCCAAGACATTTTCTCCAGCGAAGTTCAGATCTTGGTCTTTTCACTTCTTAATGGCAACTTTCTCTCTCAAAATATGATGTCTATTGTTGTTATTTTGAATGTTGCTAAGTTTACAATAGTGTTCAAGAAAAGTTTACGGAACTGCCATGTTTGTTTTTATGATTTTTGGTAATAAATCTGTGAATACCTTTTTTCTCCTGGTTGTTCAACCTGAATAGTAACTTTCATTATAAAAACCAGAAACCAGAAGAAAAGTAAATATCCAACAATAAATGAATTTAAAAAATGAATTGTGGTACACAAATG